ACAAATTTTTCTTTTACTAATACCTCTTTTATGTGGGTCCTTTCATGATATATCCACCGCCTTTGAAGGCCTGACATGACCGCTGTTCGCTGGACATAAACGCGACAAAACCGCACTGTTGCCACAAGTATTAGAAATCTCAGTTGTTGAATAGTTTCAGCCGAGGCGCCGTATGCTTAGAAATGTCAAGAGTCAAACTGAAACTAATCGTAATGGCTGACAGTTACGAAATATAGTAAATAGATGTGGCTAATCTATTCTCGGGGTTTGGTATTGGAAGAATAACAACACGGACTGAGGTGCGTTTCATCGTTCGATCTACAATGTTTTCCGCTACAATCTCTGTCTATCAGTCTTGCCTCAAACATTGCATTCTCTTCCCACAGAGGTTACTCCTGTCATATCTTCCTACGTAGGAAGATATGACAAGTAACCTCTGTGGGAAGAGAATGCAAACATTGAGGACCAACAGGGAAAAAAATGAAGGATTTTGCCACCATTAAACCTGCCTAACGTTAGTATCTCCCGTCTTGTGTTTCACGTTGTGATAAGGAATACACTCGATGATATTAGCATTTGATTTCTTTCGCCATCATTAATGTTAATCCACCTTCGTATTCCCTCTAAATGGTCCCTGGGGTGGTCTCTGTGGACATTCTCATGAAATTTGACCCTTATCAATTTTCCTTCTGACTTAATCGACAACGCCAACACTATCTGTTTGATCTAACCACCGCCACATTACGGTATATTCACCAACAACAATGTCTGGGGTGACAGTGGGAACGAGTGCTCTGTTCTTCCTTCGTCTGAGAGGTTTCTCTTTAAGTGGTCCCGCGTTCTTTATCATTTAAGTGTTCACTTTAATCCACCAAATCGAATTTGTAAACATTCACTGAAAGGCTCTTGACCAGTGTTAAAGAATCATAAAACGGGAGATGAAAACAAGATGTTTGGTCTTCATACAATCGCTGCCCTTGTTAAAACTACACCCGACATTGGGGACGTCATGGGCTCATGTCGTGCCTGTAATTTGCCAGATTTAGAATAATTTAGGAACATTATCCGAACAAACTATATGCAAATAGTAGAACGATCTTACATTTGGGTAACCGATTCCACTCAAAGTGGTCGTGTTTCCCAGCACAACGTGATTGCGAGAGAGGAAGCAGAATGTATTGAGAAGTAATTCTTTTAAGCCTCGCTTTACGTGTTGATAATGAAGTAGCATAGCAAACTCTTCCCATCACCATGAAATGTCGTTACCTCTCTCTACCAAACAAGCAGTGTTTGAATATCTGACACGCACATTTTTCTTGTTTACCCGAAACGTAGTATATAGTCTCCTGTTAATGCCAAAACAAAAGCATCTTAAGAAGAACCAGAGTTTGTAGTGTTCCCAGAAGTAAAGGATTGCTGTTAGAACAGCTGAATGTCGATTTGTAGAATAGACTACTCTACACATATCACCATGGTGTATTGTCATCAGTAGACAAGATTCGTCAGGACAACCTTAGAATAATATGTAATTTAGTTAGAGTGAATCCCATATGCAGAGACATTCCATATTGATTTGTTGTGACTTTTCGATCAACGACGGCAATGCATTTTGTCATACACACAGTCAGTGTTGTCACTACAACCACTATGACTTCAGCTGCTGCTCCTGCTGCTGCCAGACAGGCTGCTGCAGCTACTACTCGTGATACTACTGCTACTACTACTACTGCTGCCACTACCACCACTACCACCACTACCACCACCACCACCACCACCACTACTACTACGACTACTACTACTACTACCACCACCACCACCACCACCACTAACTACTATTACTACTACAGCTACTACTACTACTACTACTACTATTACTACTACTACTTCTATTACTACTACTGCTGTTACTATTACTACTACTACTATTACTACTACAACTACTATTACTACTAATACTACTACTATTACTACTACTACTATTACTACTACTACTACTATTACTACTACAACAACTACTACTATTACTACTACTGCTGCTACTATTACTACTACTACTACTACTACTACTATTAATACTACTAATATTACTAGTACTACTATTAATACTACTAATATTACTACTACTACTATTACTACTACTACTATTATTACTACTACTACTATTACTACTACTACTACTACTATTACTACTACAACTACTACTACTATTACTACTACTGCTACTGCTGCTACTATTACTACTACTACTACTATTAATACTACTTATATTACTAGTACTACTATTACTACTACTACTGCTATTACTACTACTAGTACTATTACTACTACTACTACTGCTGCTACTTCTACTAGTGCATGTTTTAATACATTTTCGGGTCACTGAGACTTACTCTCCAGCAACCCATGCTTGTATTCAAACCCGACCAACGGGCTCTGGCTGTGAGAATCGCCGTACTAGTTGATAGACACACTCACTGGCGTGTTTGATGCAGACCCGGTTATGAACAGACCGATAAACAAACAACGGTACTGCCCTTACGAGCAATTTGTGTTCTTATATCAGCTCATAGCTGAAACTCAACGGTCGGGATTTGGCTGGGACAACTGAAGGGTGTAACATCAATGCAGCATCATTCCACACAGCTCCAACGCCGTGGATCCGTATAATTGGATCCGTCGCCGGTGTTGCCCATGATGGGGGTTCTATTTTCTGTAAGGGTTTGGTGTTAGATTTCGAGGGGTGCTGACGTATGCAATATCAAAAATTCTCAAAGAAGAACTCGTGGGTTGTGACTTATTACCAATACTGTACAGGGGCGGTTTGGTAGCCTAGTGGTTAAGGCGTTCGCTCGTCACGCTGAAGACCCGGTTTCGATTCCCCACATGGGTACAATATGTGAAGCCCATTTCTGGTGTCCCCTGTCGTGATATTGCTTAAATATTGTTAAAAGCGGCGTTAAAACATACTCACTCACTCACTCACCAATCAAATAGTTGAGCTTTTACGTCGCATCGTCACATTATTTCAGGCATACATATGTTGTGTTGGGTAAACACTACCCGACTAACTTACTTTGAAGTAATCATCCACACGAATGGGACGTTAAATCGATGTTGGCGATTCAATACTACAATTCACTGATAAACGACCTTTTTTTCAGCTATGTTGTTCCCTGTCACATTTTGGAAACTTCGTTGGAGCATTACCGAACACGACATTGTTATTAGAGGAGGACCCTCGGCAATAACAGAACACTACGTGACGCCAATTCCATTCTTCAAATCTATATTTTCAGCCATCTAAATATTAGGTTACAACGTTTTACTCGTGTATCTGAAGCTGTCCAGACTGAGCAAAGTTCGATCGCGCATTGGCCTGTGCATCGCTACACCACATACAGTCAGAATACATAAATATCCAACTCTTAACACAATGTGTCTCATATGCCGGCCATAACGTTCAATATCACGTCCATGTTGCATGTCACCACCAACGGCTTAGGGAGTCCAATTATATAGCCTTGACATCATAGACACTGCTTTTGTAAGATCAAATCACATCCTGTTGAAGAGATTTCTTCCCCAAATGTGTAACTGCTTTCCATTAACTGGTGTCGTGATTTGTCAGTCATGAAAACTAGGATTCACGATTCATAGTTCACGATTGCAAATTTAGTGCGAAAATATGTGTTCTGCTGTTCATCATTCAGCGTAGAACAATTCCCCAAGGGCACCCTCGGCAGGTAAGTGAATGAGCGGGCAGCTAGGGGGAGTAAACCTGCAAACAAACATGACCTTATTTCCTTAAGGCACAAACTTCCCACGCCTGTCGTGGTGTCGAATCCAACACGTCCTGATTATCATCTTAACTCGTAATGACTCCACTGAGAATGTTGGTCACCCCACCTTCTGTATCATGGTTAATGATGCCTTTGCAAACAATCCCTGCAATACCAACAAGAACTGTATAGTCCGCTGACGCGTATTTTATGACCGCTTCATTACATCATTGCACCGGTGACGCTGAATGAGCGGGGATATATCGTTCAGGATATTTTGTATACTTTTTCTTTTTGTTCATAAGAACATACGAACACAGAAAGTACACAAGTGGTGTTTGGGATCTATTTTCCAAAGAACAAAGTTAATATTCTGAAAGGTGTTATGATGTGATTGACTTGAGCACACCTTAACAATGCTGTGAGTGAAATATCATGAACAAGCATAATCTTGCACGTGCATGTGCAGAAAAAGTATGTGGGGACCACTGGAACGCAGTGATGAACCGACAGTGTACTGTGAGCATTCGGGCCATACGTACATCTTGGATCACGCCATCAACGTCATGTGTCGGGTATTTGGGGCTAACACGTGAACTGCTTGCAACGTCGCAACCAGGTATGTCTTGTACATATCAACCAAACATATTTTGTGGTGGTTTGGGAACATGTACATTATTAAAAATATTTATTTGGAAAATGATCCCAAAGTAATTTCTATTGCACGTCAGTATATCTAGAGGTGGGCGAGTGAGTGATTGACCTCGATTCATTTTTGACTGGCGTGGCACGCCTATATCTACACATGATGTATGTTTCCAAATGTATATGTTGTTCTACTCATCCGTGGCATATTTAGATAACATATCGCTAGTATGAAACTGCCACATGTAAACCATCTGGTCATTACTGAAGTCGGTTTGTTCAACCTAGTCGATGTCTGATGCCAGGAACAAAATTGTTTGTATATTTATCGATTGACTACCCCCAAATGACCAATGCATGCCCCTATGTGTATTCATACCTGTCGACTGCAAACCAAAGTTTTTGGGTGACATTACTATGACGCAGTCAACACGTGTCCATATCTTCTACGTTATGTGTTCTGACTTAGCATCGGGAGCATTCTGTCAAATTCCTTTGTCTACCCCAGAAATATCAAGGGTTCCACTCACCTTGGCCTCATTACCGACTGTCCAAGACACCAAACAACAGACACCGTTTCACATTGTATATACTTTCTTTAATGTATTTTCTGTTACTGTAAGCTGAGTTCGAGACAACCATAAATTCGATATAATACGTACAATGCAGCCACCTTAAAATAGTGATACACATAGAAAGAGTTTGCTGACACCGGATTGATGAGTTTGGCGCAATCGACACATCCGATTTCGCCAGAAGTGTATTCCTCTTAGAATACTTTCGAAGTTAATATACATTGACAGGTGAAGTACGCATTTAAAAAAGTACATGTTTAAATACCGTATCGAACCAAACATTACACATGTTACCAGCTCTTTATTTGGCTGAAAACAAAAAGGAATTAACAACAAATTTGATGTCCAAAAACAGAACAATGTAACCCGTATCAATAGGTAAGTAGACATACTGAAATACACACATTATATATGCACTGTGGCTGTTTTAACATGTACCATATCGCCCTCTGTACATGTAAATGTCAGACCTTTAACAGTTTTCTGTTTCCACAGTTAGTGGATGCTTTAGTGCACATACTTGACACACATTAGTGCTACTGTTATTTGAATATGCATTACTATTACATGTGTACTATATTTATATACAATGTTTGTACATGTATATGGCAAGAGATGAAAAAACAGTTTATATAGAAAGTAGATATACTTAAATACACACATAATATATGCACTATGGCTGTTTAACGGGTAGCATATCAAATACATTACCATCGAATGATCTTTTTCATTTGATTTTCGTTTGCCCGCTAATTCATATTTCTAAGCAATTTCTCAAACTTCCCTTTAAATGCCTTGTTGGTTGTTTTTATTTTTGTTATTTTTCTGAGAGGACTGTTATTCGGGTAGGGTGCGGACGTATTTGGCCATTCCAGTGATGACAGTGACGTAGGTGTAGGCGTCAGAGGTCCAGAAAGGAAAGTAGCGATCCTGGTCGTTGTATCCATGGAACACCACAGGAGAACGACATTCACTGGTCATGTTGTCATACGTCTCTTCGGGTATAGTGCCCTCAACGCCAAAAATATATGGTTCGGGCCCCCTTTTTATTTTACATTTGTCATTGATAGGGATCGTTGTCCCATTGAACAACTCTATCCGGTTCACTGGGTACATTGCTGGCGATGTCTGATGAGCAGAAAACACTGATCTCGAAACAGATTACATAATACAAGAACACAAAATGCATACTGTTATCCCTTTATTGGAAGGACGAAAGGGACTGCGAAAACCAAAACGAATCTCTTGTGTCATGTGCGGAATCACACCCAGGTGTTTGAGGTGTACGGCATGAGCGACGAAACCAATTTACCGTTACATTATGTACCACACATTATTGTATAAAACACGATAGCATGGCTATTTAAATCAGAAAATATAGGGTGTATCTTTATATCATCAATAAACTTCTTGTACGTGTAGATGTGGCAAGCCCACACACTTGTTCACATGCAAGTCCATAACGTCACATTTTACAGAGCGTTAGCCCAAACAGCTCCGTATGTAAGTCGCAAATTTGAACATGTTCTGTCCCGTGTTAAAATGTGAACATATGACATCATCTTTCTTACCGTTGCGCCTTTGTTTGAACCAGAGAAGAAGGCGTTCCATGGTCTGTAGTTGCCCCCATAGCTATTTAAGTATAGCCAGGTTACAATCTTCTGCACAGTGTCTTGAACTAATGATGGTGTATCTGCAATGTGGGAAAAATGGAACGAGAGTTCATATTGTTAGATACTTGTAACACCGAAACCACTTACTGAAAAACGTCATCAGCCTGACAGGTAATGAATGATAATGTCCCTTCCCACAGTTCATTCTGACTTCAAGATGTAACGTCAGCCGGGGTCTCGTTCCACGAAGTGTTCGTAACGTTTCGACCCGTCGTAACTCAATACTTTATCGTTGTGTGTTGAATTACATGGGGCTACTAACGCTTCGTAGTCACGGTCACCTGTTTGTGGGAAATGTATGTGTTTTGTGACGTGCTCAACCGTGGCACCGCTTCCTTCTCTTCAGGAACCCAGTTTCACCATTGTATAATAGTGGCTGATAGGCACATTCCTACTCTGAACTCTGGGTTCAGCAAACCTATAGTGATTTCTTTCTTGAGGCCTTATCTATTGACAGAGCGCACTCGTGGAGGTGGACTCAATGCCCTGCCCTGACTCAATGCCCTATTTGTATACCATAGTGCCTTTGCAGCTTCTGAAGGTATTTGTGGGAATAAACGTTAGCTTGCCCTGCTCATACTTGTTTCTTAACAGGAAGCCCAGATTTTAATTGGATGTTTGGTGAAAACGGTTCACGTCAAGAACATAAACTACTTTTACTAAGGTAAGAAACGTGACGTCGACGTAATGACATCTGGTAATGGGATTTACGTTTATGAGGATATGGGATCACGAACATTTAGTGAAGTTCTGTTGATAGATAATGTACATGAATGTCACTGCCAAGGTTAATGAACAGCGATGTTTGCACCTACCTTTATCCCAGATAATCTGCCCCGTGTGCTGATCTTCAGTTGCCCAGATAGTCAGAAGTGCATTTAGAGCCATGGAGCTGGTGAAAATACGGTCTTCCGCATTGTTCTTCAATGAAACATTTCCATAGGACACTTACGAAGTAAACAAATCATTGCTTATCAAATCAGTATTATATCTGCACTTGATAAATACTCCGACCTTTGTTGTGTGCTTGAAACCTTCTAAAGATTTAAAACCAGTCTAAGAACTAGTAATTATGCATGTTCCACCATATTTCGTATGATACATGCCATATGGTAACGGAAAATTAAAATGGAATAAATTATGGAAACAAGGGTCCAAAATACCACTTATGAAAAGTCACATTAATGCTTTCATTGAATGTCATTTTTGAAAATTGAACAGAAACGAACTTGATGCAATCTTCGTTGAAAGATACGTGTGATGTTAATGTCTACTTGAAGCTAGTTGGCAATGCTGCTTTCTCTAATCATGTCAACGATTTGTTTTGTGAATGTACATGCACGAGTGAGCAATGTTAATGTACACATTATTCTCTGTTTATCAACCCCTGCTTGAATCGACTAACGGGATCGGGTGGTCAAGCTACCATACCCACTTCTAGTCCAGCCCCATTCGACATTCCTTTAGGCGTGCTCTACACTACATGTACTATTACCCCTGTGCTACTTGACATACCTTCAAGTCCAGAACCAATCGCCACCTCATCAGTCCAGTACCAATCGACATACCTTCAAGTCCAGTACCACTTAACACACCTTTACTTCAGTGACACTCGACATATCATTCGACATACCTTCACTCCAGTACTATTTGGAATACCTTTAGTCTAATACCAGTCGACATTATTATTCAAGAACTTATCGAGTGGACAGATGATGGAAAACTGCGCGGTTGAGTAGACTGGTGGTTGAGGCATTCATTCATCCGGGTTCGAGTCCCCGCAACGTATGAAACCCATGTCAGGTGTCCCGAACCTTCATATTACTGGGACATTGCTGTCACGTAATGTTGCGAGTATTACCACAGACTTGTTGTCGTATGTGATGTCGCCATCACCGATGAAGTCATCGTAGTAGATGGTGTTCATGCCTGACTGGGATTCAGACTTCCGCTGGTCCAGGATCCAAGGCGAAGCGTAGGTCCGCAGCACCTGCTTAAAGTCCTCCAGAACCTGATCCATTCCCTTCAGTTTAACGAAATGCAATGCATTATAAGGTTGTATGTTTAAAATGGTATCATAATGTAAAATAATCAAATCTAATCGGTTTCAGGAGAGCAATTTAATCAACATCTCAACCTCAAAGTGGACAGCTGCTCTTTACTATGAAGTTGCTGAGAGAGTAGCGCCGCATTGAACAATATTCCGGATAAGTCACAGCGTCAGCTTGTTTGGAAAGCCGGAAGTGTTGCAGGTTTTAACCGTTCGTCATTGTGGTCACATAGACAAAACAGAACACGATCTGGAATTCACATACATGTATTTTAGAAAATGCTGTCATTGTGATAGTTGCACGTGGTGCATTTTGGAGCCTTAAGGACCATATTGAAAGTGCCACTCAAACAAGCCTTAAGGACTACTTACACTTGTCTGTAGTATTTAGCAGTTATCCATACTTGTTTTGGGGATCCTCACCCGAATACAAATAATCGTTTTGTAGCAAATACACTGGAACTACGCTCATGCACATCAGTATCCGTTCATGCATTTGCAACCGAGTTTTGCGGGATAAACGTTAGTATGGAATCGGACCTTTGGAGATGTCATATCTCGATCCCCGTGGAATTCTCTGTTTGCACGTCTGTACAAGAGAGACGTGTGGATACGTGTGGAATCCTTGGCGGACAGGTGTAAACGTAGAAACGGATGTGTGTCAAGAATACGGATTCGCAGAGAAAAGAAGATTAATACTAGTCTAATACGACTGAAACACCTGGGCCCTCAGAACTGTGGTACCAACGATAGATTAGACACTGGAGTAGCCTATGCAACCTCACCTTGTGAGGCAGCGATCCCGCCCTGTCTAGAGTTTCCTGGAGTTTGTTGTACGTCCTGGCCACAAACCAGTAGAACTCAATAACTGGTGGATAGTATGTCAACGCCAGGTCAACACGATCGGAGAAATTAGTCTGGATTTGGAAAGCGAGCATTCGTGTTGTGTCGTTATAGATATGCTGCAATGTAAACACAAAAACATACATTACCCAAGCGGTTTGCCACTAATAATAGTAAGTGCGTATATTGGTTATCCCAAAACAGGCTTCACTGTAGTGACCATGCATGGAAATAATTTGCTGATTTATGTGACGTCCCAAGTATATATCATGGCCCCGTTTCAGAAAGCGCTACGTACGACTATCGTATATCAGTGTTAATTATCAATACTCACATGTGTTGAGAATTTAATTCAGTTACCTATTTTATAGCTTATTATCATTTTATTTCAGAAGTTTGAACTTTAATGATTTATTATAGCAGCGACAAAACTATATCATGATATCCTGCTATGGACATGGTGTTGCTCTAAACTCTCACTATCGGCATATCTGCCACATAGTGTTGCTCTATACTCTCACTATCGGAATATCTACCACATGGTGCTGCTCTATACTCTCACTATCGGAATATCTACCACATGGTGTTGGTCTGTACTCTCACTATCGGGATATCTGCCACATAGTGTTGCTCTATACTCTCACTATCGGGATATCTGCAACATGGTGTTGCTCTGTACTCTCACTATCGGGATACCTGCAACATGGTGTTGCTCTATACTCTCACTATCGGGATATCTGCCACATAGTGTTGTTCTATACTCTCATTATCGGGATATCTGCCACATAGTGTTGCTCTATACTCTCACTATCGGAATATCTACCACATGGTGTTGCTCTATACTCTCACTATCGGAATATCTGCAACATGGTGTTGCTCTATACTCTCACTATCGGAATATCTACCACATGGTGTTGCCCTGTACACTCACTAATGGGATCTCTACAACAGAAGGTGTGGACCACGCTGTTAGTGTCGGGTACAGAACATAGAATGTAGGATTATAGAGTTATATCTACCAGAATATCTGTGTCATCCAACAAGGAGGGCTCGAGAACGCCACTGATGATGCCAGCTGTTACAGCGTACATGAAGTTAGCAGATACCGTGACGTCCACGTTGTTCACATTGAACGGCATCATCACCCCCTTTGCAAACCAGGTCCGAACTTCGTCCGTGTCCTGGATCTAGTACAGAAATCAGAAACATACTAATTTATTATCATGAATATTTTCATTTCATTTTTTACTCCATGCGACGCTGTCAACACGCTACAGGGATCCATGCTCGACGTCCTTACGTTGGACCAATTCTGACTGACAGACAACGTAATGAGCGTATACAATGGGCTAGTAGGCATTTTCAGTAAAGGTTACAACAATGGCATGGTGTGGTAGTCACTGACGAGTCACGTCTTCACCTACGTAATGCTGGCGGCCGATTACGTGTTTGGCGTAGACGTGGTGAACGTTATGCTGATGAGTGTGTGGTTCAGACAGCCCTTTGGGTGGTGGGAGTGTCATGGTCTGGGGTGGAATAAATTACAATCACAGGACTGCCTTCATGTCTTTTAAGGGAGAGTTAATGCCCTTTATTACCGTGAGCAGATTCTTCAGAATCACATCGTATCCGTCTTCAATCACCACCAAGATGTCCATACTTTTCAACAGGACAAGGCACGGGCACACACAACAAGACTTTCCATGCAGTATCTGGCCCAGCAACAGGTTATTCATTGGCCTGCGCAGTCGCCAGATGTATCCCTCATGGAGCACTTGTGGGACGAAATTGGTCAAAGTCTCTCGCGGCGACAACAGATGTGAAACATCTTGAGGCTGCACTACTGCAGAAGTGGAAAGCCATCCTCAAGAACTCTATTCGGACGCTTATTGACTCAATGAGGAGACGTTGAATTGCATGTGTCAATGCAAATGGCGGTCGCACGCGATATTGACTTTTCGATTTGATCCTTTCTGACTGTGGAACATTTCAATGAATGAGCGTCTTTTCTGTGTTGTTGTTTTTGTCAGTCGCCCATCTGTTTTTATCCACTCAAAAAATATCAATTCCTTACACGTGCTTTTAATAATCTGAACTTTTATAAGTGGTGCGTTTTGATGTTCAGTATATATATATATATGTGTGTGTGTATACATATATATATATATATATTATATCGGATATATGCAATACAAATGCTGTTGTCATAGAGTTGCAGCGATACAAGGTACATACATGGATGTCATGTTATTGTGCACAAGATTACTGACTTCAGTGCGTGTCATGTATTGAAACGGACGTAAAGTGCACTCTACTAACCCACGTGGTTACAAGGGCGACGTCGTTGCCAGCCAGCTTCTCCTGGGCCAGCCACTTCCGCAGGTAGACGTACGATCGGGAATCGATCGTGTTGACTCGCTGATCTCCGGAAAATGGCCTGTGCAAACAATCGGAAACGTTATCGTACAGGAAAGTACGTTTATAACGATCACACTTATACCGAACTGACAGAAGCACTGACTTGTCTTGGTTTTTGCTGTTGTATTTTTAGTTGAAATGAGTATTTTCCAAATGCGATTTTATGGAACTAAAAAGTGTGGTCCCCTTGAGTTCGTTCTACGCGGAGAATGTAACATGCAACTAAAGCACATAAGATCATCACATCATTTTTCCCCATCTTTTGAAGTTACATTTTTCTATCCATTCTAAACATTCATAGGTGAAGTGTGCATCAAAATATATGGCTACTGTTGTAAATGTATCATCAACACATACATAGACACACATACATACATACACACATACATACATACATACATACATACATACATACATACATACATACATACATACATACATACATACATACATACATACATACATACATACATACATACATACATACATACATACATACATACATACATACATACATACATACATACATACATACATACACACACACACACACAAACACACACATACATACATACATACACACACATACATACATACATACACACACACATACACACACTCATACATACATACATACATACATACATACATACATACATACATACATACATACATACATACATACATACATACATACATACATACATACATACATACATACATACATACATACATACATACATACATACATACATACATACATACATACTAAAGAAACAACTATTGAAGATATTATGAGCAAATCACTTTGGTATAACAATTCCATATAAAAGCCCATATATATTGCACAGTGTCATAAAGAGGGTATAACATTTCTGAATGATTTTATTAATGAACATGGTAAAATGATCAAATCATAGTTCCATCATGACATTATGGAGCTCACGTCAGAAAAGGTATAGTTCTGGTTGCTGTTACATTTTGGGGTATATCATATACACACATAAATAAAGCAATTGGGTGCATTTTACAGTTCTTAGGCACAGATTCGAAACTGTCTGTTATTAACTGTTCCTGTCTGTGTGTATTCCACATGCAACATATGGCATATTTATCTCAGTTATAACATGCATTAAATTTAATGACTTTCTAAAAGGCAGTGTGTATCCATGGATTTCACATATTAGGAGATTTGTAAACCAACAATGCGTTGTATTCATGTAATCCTGTCAGTTTCGTTTTGCACTGCGTTACAAGCTGAAAACTCGGTTGTCCGTGCATGTGTATGTGTGAGCATTCGGAACAAATTGATATATATTACATATATTGTATATTTCGGGTTCAAATATAGGATACAAATTGTAGTCCATCAAGAGCGGATCATTGAACAGATGAATGGTGTACTAAAGGTGTTACAGAGGTCTTACATACTGGCATATTGGTGGAAACCGCTTATGTGTGCAAAAACATCTTATACATAGTGTTCACCTGCAAGTGATCAAATGGAAGACCTATTACGTGTTGGCACGCTGATTCATACATTGAACCTGTACACAAGCATGTAAACGCTACGATGGTACCTGTAGGCATAACGCTTTAGAGCATCAAATACAGATGTCAGGTTTGGGTTCTGGGACATCCACAAGTCAGAGGCCTCTGGGAAGGTGTGAGACATTTCCTTCAGCATTGAACCCAGACCGATATTGAGAAAAGTGTCATCAAAATCTGGTGGCACGTGAAACACCGACATGTACCCGTCTCTGAAAGGAATGGGGAGTGTAATCAATAACGTAATGGTTTCTCCAAGAGTGAGTGAGTGAGTATCGTTTTACTCCGCTGTTAGCTCTATTCCAGCAATACCACGGCGGGGGGACACCAGAAATGGGCTTCACACATTGTACCCTAGACTAACAACTAGTCTCTGAAATGAACATATTTTACTGAAAAAAAGTTCATAGTAAAAAAAAAATATATAATGAAAAGGAGCCCTGAGACTTTCTTCATTTTCAGAGGAAATCTAGACTTGCCACATTTTCTAGACTTGTGTGGGCTTTCTTGGATATATTTGCTTCAGGGTCTGTACGACAGACTAATTGTACCCATGCGTGAAATCGAACCCGGGTTTTCGGCATGACGAGCCAACATCGCTACCCCACCGTCCCTGTTTCTCCAAGAAGATGTTTCAGCGTTTTATAGACTTGGAGTGTCAAATAAAAGATAAATAACAGAGTTAAACTAAACGGAATGTGTTCTGTCGCTGATATTAAATGGTTATGTATATAGTACGTATAGGAGTCCATTACCTAGATCGCATGAGCCGTACCATAATGTATTCTATGTCCTTCAGACCAAGTTTCTCCAGCTCAGCATACGTCCAGTTCAAAGGCAGATATTTTGTCGCTTCTATAAGATCCACTAAGTTTCGAGGACTGCTGTCCCACGTCTTTAAGGTTTCATTATAGACTTGTGGCCAGAACGTCATCAACGAATTATTGAAGGCAAGGTTCTTGTCGCGATGATCCTTTATGGCGTCAAGACCGGCGTTGAGCTCCGCCAGATTGTAATCCGTCATATCCCCATATTTACTAAACTCTGCAAGAATCTCCATCACATACGCTGTGGCAAACATGTTGTTGTCGAACACACCAAACAGCTGTCTGAACAGTGCCAGGTCAGGGACACCATGGAAGTACTGCTTCACATAACTTGGCCAGACCCCCTTGTCTTCGGCCCATTCAAGTAGAGGCACGTATTTCTTGTCCTTCTTTACCTGGGCATTTTCCACAAGATCTCTCATGACTCGTATAGAACTTTCTATCTCTTGCTTAGTAGGGGAGGCGGACACACCGACCAGCGTCAGTAATAACCAGCATAACATTAGGACAACCATGATGTATTGCGGAAGGCTGACACTATGGTGAACGATAGTCTTTTGGGAATATATAATGTATGACACATGAAAGCCGATGTGAACAAGGAACAGATGCGCATATGTTTATCTCTAAAAAGGGCACGTTTTGGGTCATGGCTGTAGCTGCTTAGGTCATCAATAACTTGTGATGTCTAGGTCGTGAATCATGTTACAAGGAACATGCAAATGCGAACTTATGGGACAAATGGGGCATAGTGGGTGAGCGAGTTTGGTTTTACGACGATTTTAGCAATTTATCAGCAATCGGTCAACGAGTATATTTTAAAAACCTGACTTATACCGTAAAAGGTACGGTGTGTGAGCTGAAATATATATTTCAAACACGATTGTTTTTACTTAATTTCAGATGCCAAAAATAACAATGATGAAGATTAAGTTATTCCCATGTTCACACGGTCTTTATCCATAACAAACTTTGACCTTAGACTGACTCGAGCGTGATGATTAAACATACAATTTGAAAGTAAGTGCATATACATGTACTGTATTGACCACAATGGTCTACTAGGTGGTATGTTATTTTTTCTTGATTGCTTCAAACAATGCAATCTATTTGTTTCGTCCATAGGCAGGTAGTCTAAGAGTGATACAATTGCCTACAGTGATGTGTAAAACGTGAGGTTGATATAATGAACAACAGTTTATGGTGTGGCCTGACATTCAGTTAGTCTTGCCACGGACTGTCAACACCAGACTCATATTTGGTGGAGTATGGCTGTATAATCTCCTGGTTGATAATGCTGAAGACATCGCTAAGAATCTCAATATTGGGACTGTGTGTGGTTGTATACGAATCATGGAATCAGGAGCTACAACCCAACCCAATGCACACATCACTCACGTTTTATAGCAAATATGGAATACTGGGGATGTTTCAAGCTGGCATCCGCACTGAAGTGCTGTCACTACTTCACCGTCTACAAGCAAAATAACTTGGCGGTGTTGGCGTGTAAATACATTCTAACATATTTCAAAACTTTCTTAAAATATCCAATTTAAGTAACAATAAAGACAAGGGCTCCTACATTCTGAAAAAGACACATGGTTATACACTTGATCAGGTGTTTTCTCTTATCTTATCAAGCAATGATTTTTTAAGCTTACCATATTTATAGAGACTGCAAATTCAACACATTTAGATATATTTGAAACGTTCAACATGGTGCTACAGAAAATCATATTGTTTTTGTTGATTCCAATCGTTACAAGCGATGGGCTTCCATTTGACCTACAGTCGCTGCAAATGGCGATTGACACCTTGGCGTTGCAGGTTATGGAACTGCAAGTACCGAAAACAAGGCACTTCTTTCCTCCATTCAGATGGGATGAAGAACAAGGAATGTGGCCAAGTGATGTCAAGCTAAACTTCCACGGTTACCCAGAAAATGCATTATTCAGAGACCTTTTCGGGATATTCGACAACAATATGTTCGCGACCACTTACATTATGGCTTGCCTGATTGAAGGACGGCGGTATATCAACAGCACCACGTATGGACCGACACATGAAGAAATGACCAATGGTTTAAATGCCATTAAAAACCATCATGATATGAACGTGAACTATTCCAACTCACTGATGACCTTCTGGCCTCAGACATACAACGAGACTCTTGGAGCTTACAACAGTTACCCAGTCAACCTTAATGACCTCATCAAAATGACTGACGTCATGCCACTGAATGCAACGTATGCGTTTCTCGAGAAGCTGGGTCTAAAAAATGTCGAGGGGATCATCAAAGTTTTAATGGAAATCAGGTCTGTATTAATTTTCTCGATCATAACACTTCGTAAATTGTTATTAAAGTATGATGTCGGGAAATCTCTTGTATGGTGCATAGTCGTGTCCGGCCCCGTAATACCAAACGTTTCAGTTGGCGCGCTTGAAACAACTTAGCAATATTCCAGCAATATCACGACAGAGGGACACCTGAAATGGGCTTTTCACATTGTACCCATATGGGGAATCGAACCCGGGTCTTCGGCGTGACGAGCGAACGCCTTAACCACTAGGCTAAACACACACACAAACACACACACACACACGGAAACAACATGAAGCTGACACGCTGTCACAGAGGTACAATGCTGTCGGGGCGTTGAATCATCATCATCATCATCATCATCATCATCATCACAGGCATTGCATATCTCAATGTAGACTTGATAGAAACTAGTTAGGGTGCTGCAGTAGACCAGTGAGTGGTCAATAATACGTTGTGTACAGACCAGTGTCTCTCCATAAAACAATTAACAAGTTGTCATTTAACAAGTTTTTCAGCATTCTGTGTACAGTGGCATGGTGGAGCACGGACAGTCAGGTCTTGTAAACGGCATTTGCAATCGACCGGTCAGATGTACTGGGTTTGAATCTAAGATTCACCTAAATTATGTTTCTGTGTTTGTAATAGCTACGTGCACCTTCCCAATAGTTTCAACGAAGTGGTCAATGTCTGAGGCATGCTTAACGTTAACTTTCCTCCTTGTTGAAGTATAGGCTGTAGATACCTTAGAGATACACGTCTACGGTGCTTTTCATTCTAGGAGTCCTTTACACGGTAAGAAGGACAGTTAAAAAAGTCAAACTACTGTTCAAAGCGGATTTTAACCGAACCCACAAAGTTATTGCTTTGCTGTAGTCTGTCCTGTGTTCTCCAAGAGACACAGAACTGCCTTGCCTTTTTGTAAGCGTAACACGATTGTGTATTCCTGTATTTTGTGACATAGACGCAGTTACACACAGGCGTTTCACATCCCCCCCCGGACTTCGATGACAGCTTCCTGAACATTGGTCTTGGTTCCATCTTGTCAGAGATGTCCCACCTGTACCCGACCTACGACAAAATGTGGAGAGGCCACAACACCAATCTCACGTCTGTGTTCGACGCCCTCAAGCACTACGCCTACAGGTCAGTATGCCAGGGATGTTACTTTTACGCACCTTAATAAGTGAATGACTCCTTGCTTCTGTGGACAAAGTGACAGCTCATACAGTGGAAGGTGGGTGTTTAATGCCCTGGTCTGGTCATACTAAAATATGTTAATTGATGCTATGCTATGTGTTGCTTCCCTGTTAGTCAACAGTCCAAATCAAGACACGGTAACTTCCAATGCCCATTTGAATTTGCCATTATTTTATTGCGAATTAACTGCTGGAAATGTTTACCTGCTTATTACAAATAATGAACCTGTAAATGACTAAACTATATTCACATCATGAACCCTCTGTTCACAATGCCCAATGACAACAACAGAGTGATATCAGCTTGCCGACAATCGATATGAATAAATTACCACCATGCACGTATTCAAAGTCTTGATAGCAGTTCCCCTGAATGTGCAGGCCGTTCTCTGGGAACCAAAGGGTAAACACCATCGACCCTAGGACGTACTACTACTTGCGACATTGGTTGCAGCAGGAGAAACAGGCCGGGAACGATGTAGCCTTAGTGCCAACATGGGTATGTATTCATGGCTGTGAGAAGGGCGTAGAATGGTAACATCGATATCATATTAGAAATGTTATTATTAAAGTCTTCTTTCTAAAACATATTTGGAACAAGGAGTCACGTTGTGTTACGTTAACGGCGTTCACCAGTGTTGTTAATGCTATTGTACATGTAGGAGTATTATTTAGGTGAGAAATGTTGACACTTTACTGTGGAACTTATCAGGGACTGATAGCGGGTCGTGGGACATGTTGCATATGGTGGCCTCAGAGATACACTGACATGAGGGCCGTAGCGTATTCCTCAGTAGTATATCAGGGACATGAGAAGCTAAACACACCAAAATCAGCTCCGCACAAATGCCACCTGTTTCAAAATAAATGTGATTACGTTCAGATAGTGGTATAGAAGACAGCACTAAATATTAAAATACATGGTCAGTTTACAAATTGATTCATGTGCACTTAAAAACACGCGAATCCCATCTAAATCGCCCAAACACAGCTGCCATATGAATCTGCCTGTACTGAAGGTGTCCTGTGAATTCTCCTTGTTTATAGTCTCTGATTTGGTCTATAGTACGTGCTGCATGTGTACATGAACTATCGTAGCCGTGGCATATGTACTGCATACTGATGCACGTACGACGTACGCCAAGAATCGTGTGAAGCGTCCATAATATCATGCATTCCTGCAAATCCTAGTCCACAATGACAGTCTGGAGCAATCGCTAAATTCTCATGTTCAGCAAAGTTCGAATCATAATTAAAGCATTCTGGTATTGAGGTTATGTATTTAGTTTATTTTCGTTGAAGTTTTTATCACTGCACACAGATCCAGGACACTGACGAAGTACGCATTTGGTTCGACAAGGGAGTCATGATGCCGTTTAACGTCAACAACATTGACGTCACTGTGTGTGCAAACTTCATATTTGGTGTCACCAATGGAATCATTAATGGGCTCTTTCAACCATCGCTGTTGGATGATCCAGAAATAATGGTCAGTCAATAAACACCGTAACACAGAGATGGTGAATGAATTTTTAACGCATTAAATACAACGAATAATGTATGGTGACCGTTATAAAGAGCCTGTTTCCCCGGATACCAAAGTAAAGTATCACATTTACACTGAAAAAGCAAATAAAATAACATACAATCCCTCATAATGTGTGCGCACTTCGTTTTTGCGTTGTGCGTCTATGTTTGGTTCCAGATGAAGTGGCGGGTTTCAATCATTACGATACATATTTGATAGGAAGTTTGTCATTTGTCAATGTATGTAGCTATGCATATTAGTGAGTACATATTCCATAATTTGGTATATGGCTGTAGACTAAAGGTTCAAGCTTTAACTCGTTACGCCGAAGACCCGGATTCGATTCCCCACATGTGTACAATGTGTAAAGTCCATTTCTCGTGTCCCCGCCGTGATATTGGTGCAATGTTGTTAAAAGCGACATTAAACTAAATTCGCCCACTCGTAGGAGTATTGCCCAAACCGTTGGGTCGACGTCATGATCTATCTAGGATGACATTGTCGCGGTTGAAGTGCATG